TTACTACAGGTTTTGGTGACAAATTCCTTCACTGTTGTCCAAGTTTACCTTTGTTTTTAAAATATTTTATTATTTTTATATTATGTATATGAGTGTATTGCCTGCATGCATGTAAGTACATCAATGTGGTGCAATGCCTGTGGAGGGTAGAAGAGGGCATTGGATCCCCTGGAACTAGAGTTATGAACCATTGTTAGCCACCATGTGGGTATTGAGATTCAAACCTGGGTCCTCTACAAGAGCAGTCAGTGCTTTTAATCACAGAGCCATCTTTCCAGCCCCCTTTGTTTTGTTTTTATCCTGCAGTGTGTGTGATATAAAATTATAGGTAGGCATTCCCAGCTGGTGAGCTGTATCTGTGAGCCCAGCCCTTGAGAGGTGGAGGCAGGAAGATCAGGAGCTCAAGATTATTTTCAGCTATATATGATTACAAGGTCATTCTCAGATACAAGACAGTCTCAGAAATAAAAGATTTTTTTTTTTTTTTTTTTTTTTTTTTTTTTGAGACAGGGTCTCCCTATAGCCCCAGCTGGCCTAGATTCACTATGGAGACCAGGCTGGCCTCAAACTCCCAGAGATCTGCCTGCCTCTGCCTCTGCTGGGATTAAAGGTGTGCGCCACCGCGCCTGGCCAATAAAAGATTTTTTAAATGGGAAATTTAAAAATATATTTATTATTTTTTATTTTATGTGTATGAATGTTTTATCTGCATTCCTGTAAGTGCAGCAGTGCCCACCATGGAGGCCAGAAGAAGGTGTCACATTTCCTGGAACTGGAGTTATGGGCTGTATTAACTACCATGTGGGTGCTAGGACTCAAACCTGGGTCATCTGGAAGAACAGCAAGTGTTCTTAACTACTGAGCCATCTTTCTAGCTCCTCAGAAATAAAATTTTTAAAAAGGTATGTATTCCCCTCTCCCCTCCAGCTTTTGAATGTGTTATTGACTCCATTGTCCTCTGGTGACTTCTGCCTTCACTACTGTGTAGAATAACTTTGATTGTCAACTTGACACACCTTGGAAGAGGGGAGCCTCTGTTGGGGAAATTCCTCTGTTGGATTGTTTCTTGACTATTTAGTAATGAGAGGGCCCAGCCCACTGTGGGTGGTGCCACCCCTGAGCTTGGGTCATGGGTTGTATAAGAAAGGCTGAGCACAGGCGAGATAAGCAAGCCACTAAGCAGCATTCCTCCATGGTCTTTGCTTCAGTGCCACAGGGTCCTGCCCTGATTTTCCTCAGTGATAGATTGTGACCTGGGAGTTGTAAGCTGAAATAAATCCTTTCCTACCCAAGTTGCTTTGGTCATAGCGTTTATCACAACAACAGAGAAAGCAAACCAAACTAATATGACCACTAATGTTCTTGATGCTGTCTATAGTTGGTTAAACTCATCACTTTTGGTTTAGAACCTTTGATTTATAGTTTTAGCAACTTAAACTTTGCCTGCTTTTATTATCAATCCACAGGAACAGCAGAGAGTCTCAGTTTCATGTTTGTGTTCTTAGAGTTTTTTGTAACAGGCATTTCTTAGTCCTGTACTCTGTCTGATACCCTCAAGTTGTTTGTGCTAATATTTTTCTCTTTCTCAAAAAAAAAAAGCCAGTTACTCAGAAAGCCTGTTACTTTCTGGTGTTGGTATGTCGCTGCCTTTCTGCACAGTCTTTCACTTCCCTACTTGCGCCCCCCCCCCCGCTGGTATTCATTTTCACTCTGAAGGCAACAGCAGTGTATTTGGTTCTTTTCCCCACTAAATAACAGTCTATACATGTGATGCTTAGCATAATTCCTGGCATATGTGGGCTACCTAGGATTTCTGTGTACTTGAATGAATGCTTCTGTCTTTTTGAGACAGGGTCTCCCTGTAGTCCCAGCTGACCTGAACTCACTATGTAGACCAAGCTGGCCTTGAACTCACAGAGATCCACCTGCCTCTGCCCCCCGAGTGCTGGGACTAAAGGCATGTGCCACCACACCTAGCCATGTTATACATTTTTTCATGTGTGTTTCTTCACTGGGTTAATCCATAGGGGCAGTGATCATGTCTTAATTGTTGTCGTATAACCCAGTTTCCAGCAGATTGTAAGAAATGTTATAGGTAAACTAATTCAGTTTTGTGCATTATGCAAGTTACTGTAGAATGTTTATTATGATTGTTTGAGTTAATGTAGCAAATATTAGAAATTTATTTCAATATAACAAGACCATGTGGGGATATTTTTTAATTAAGAAATCACATTTGTATCAGAATTCTGAAAAAAATGTGCGCGTGCGTGTGTGTGTGTGTGTGTGTGTGTCTGTGTGTATGTGTGTGTGACATGAGTATGCTTGGCAAGTGCATGGTCAGAGGACAGCCTCTGGGGTTGGTCTTCAGGTGCCTTCTCCCTTTGTTGAGTGCTGGGACTAAATGTATGAGCCACCACGCCAGGCATCAATAAACTATTAAAAAAAAAAAGAAAACTCACTTAAATTTTGTATACCTTTTAAAGTTGAGCCCAAATGAAAGACACAGTTTGCCTTTGATAGCTTTGGGGAAAGTTTTCTAAATAATGGAATATAAAAATTAGCTAAATATATTGAAAACAGAATTATAAGAGATAATAATTTACATTTAACCATTTTTACTGTGAATATTATGCACATATAGAAAAGCACCCAAAATATAAATAGCTCTGTTATCAAAGTGAATGCCTGTGTTTCTGCCATCCAAGTCTGACTGTCCTCTGAATTGATACAATAGAGATTATTACATACATCCTTGACTTCATTAATTACCCACTTTTATCCTCTTCCTGGATAGATAGCATAGCCAGTCATCTCGTTATGATTTAATGCTCTTATTGTGCATTTGGATCTATATTTAATTTGTTTTTATGTGTATGTGTTTTGCCTGCATGAATGTAGGGGTACTACATGCATGCAGTGCTCTCAGACACCAGGGGAGGGCATTGGATCCCCTGGAGCTGAAGTTATAGATAGTTGTTAGCTGTCATATGAGTGTTGGGAACCAAACCCAGGTCCTCTGTAAGAGCAGCCAGTGCTCTTAACCACTGAGCCATCTCTCCAGTCCCACCTTGAATGTTCTTATTGAAGTTCGTGAAAAGTACAGCTGACAATTCTTGGGGTAGTTGAGACTCAAGGTGCAAGTCTTGTAAAACTGCAAGTTTCAGATCTGATAACATGCTTTAAGGGTGAAAGCACTTTGGATCTCTGGAAAATGTGCACTTCAGTAATTGGACAGAAGTTGAATTATTTACATACAGAAATAACCATTAAGACCGAGAAAAACCTGTGACAGCATAGGAACAACGTATGCACCATTCTAAAACAAGAAGCCCAAATATGTGAGCAGTAACTGAAGGGAAGCGTGCATGTGCCTCTCTGCCTTCTGCATTGAGTAGCTGTGGCCATTATGTAGCTTCTCTTGGCAAGTCTTAGCACCCTCCTGGTTATCATTTGTGGGGATACTTCATTCTTGGTCAGAATTGATGATCTAGTGGTTTCTATCTTCTCTTTTGGGAAGTTCTTACCTAGTGTTCTTGCGGCTTTAACTTGTGTTTGACCTCATCCATCTGACTGTGCTTAGTAGCTGCCGTGGTGAATCATAGCTCTGCCTCTGTGTACAGATCCAGTTCCTCATGGATCCCTCCTCTGTATTCACTTCATCCTTGGTGTGCCAAAGTCCCAGCCAGCTGTTGAGGTTTTATGTAGTAATACAGAAAAGACAAGTCAGACTCTATTAGGAAAATCTCACCCCTCACTGAAGGAGCACAGTGGTGAGTCATGTGAAAAAAGTTCCTGACAAGAACCACACCCTCCCATCAGTCTTCTTCAAGGCTGATTAACTGATTAGAACTTCAGTGATGTGGAGACCTTGGAATGCTCTGTTAGGTGGTCTTTGGAATATACAGACTCCAAACCCCTACCAACCAAAAGAATGCAGTCAGATAACGTTAGGGTTCCAAACAGCAGCAGTTTCCCCCGTCCCCAACAGGGACCTCACCTTGACCTTTGAAGTCAAGGAAAACAAACTCTGCTGAGAAGCAGCCTGCCTTTCCTCTGACCTCCAAAGATAGGATAAGCAGATTCTACCTGTTAACCAGAGATTTTAGAAGCTGTTTTTCTCTTATCTTAAGAGGGAAAAAGTAAACACTTCCAGACCCTAATCCTACCTGCTTTTCCTGCTTACCCCTCCCTGACTTCTCCCCCAAACATTCCCCCCTTCCACACCCTAAAGCCCCCATATATAAAGTCCCAGCTCACAACCCGTGGGTTGACATCTTTCCCTGACATCTTTCCCTTCCCTTCCATCTTTCCCTTCCCTTCCCTTCCCTTCTTCCCTTCCCTTCTTCCCTTCCCTTCTTCCCTTCCCTGCTGCCACACCCTACTGTTAAAAAACTCTTATGCATAGTTGATGCTCAGTGAAAAGATTTTCTCTTTTCTTTTCCTTTCCTTTCTTCCTTTCTCCCTTCCCTTCCCCTTCCCCTTCCCCTTTCCCTTCCCTGACTTCTTTCCCTCCCCTGCCCTTCCCTGACATCTTTCCCTTCCCTGAGGGAAAGGTGCCCTGTGTGAAATAAATCTGTATCCCGCTGAGAATTCTATCTGTGCCTCGGTGCCTCATCCATCCGCTCGTGCTCTCCACCGCAAGCTGGCTCTCTCCCAACATTCCTACCTATCAGATAACAGCCGAGGACTCTAGTGGAGATGTTCCATACCCACCTACCTGATGTTTCCACCAATATATTTGGGAAGTGTCTTGAAGATTTATGATTTTCCTTGTTCTGTTGCAATAAATTTCATGAAACTGTTACCATGTTAAACCATGGAATTTGGGGTGACCTGAATCTGTTTCTGGGCCATGGTCACACATATTTGGATCTTGAATAAAACTGTCTTTTATCCCCTTTGATGTGAGAGTTGTGCCCTTATGCTGACAGTCATTTGGGACATAGAAGGACCTCATCACTTTATTCTATCCATATCTTTTTAAAAAAATTGATTTAACCCATCTGTTCCCTTTCCCATCTGATCTCAACACAGGTCTTGGTGGTCGTAAAGGAGAAAGAGCATACTGAAGCTGGCCTAACAGCCTTGTGGTCTGGTATAAGCATATGCGTTAGATTCAAACAGGGCTGCATTCTCTTTGGAAATGGGATAATCTGAGAATTAGAGGGAGATGAATGTGGAGCTCTGGGAAGTTGGTTGTAGCAATTGCTTGTCTTTTGTGTTTTTAGAGCTGTGTAACCAGTAAAAGTGCCCCCATCTGTGACTTCACCTAAAGTTGGAGAAAGGTCCTAAGAAGGAGCAGACAGGACAGCTCTGGAGGCCAAAACTTTGCTAATGTTGTATGATGCACATGCCTGAAGGTGGATTAATAAAGACTTTTTTTTGGGGGGGGGTTGAGACAGGGTCTCCCTATAGCCCCAGCTGGCCTGGATTCACTATGTAGACCAGGCTGGCCTCGAACTCACAGAGATCCGCCTGCCTCGGCCTCCTGAATGCTGGGATTAAAGGCGTGCACTACCACACCTGGCCAAGAAAGACTTTAAAAAATTTATTTATTTATTTTTATTTTATATGTATGAGTGTATTGCCTACATGTGTGTAAGTGTATCTGTGTCATGCAGTGCCTGAGGTGGTCCAAAGAAGGCATCAGAGTCCCCTGGAACTGGAGTTACAGATAGTTGTTAGCTGCCATGTAGGTGCTGGGAATCAAATCTGGGTCCTTGGTAAAAGCAGCCAGTGCCCTTAACTGCTGAGCCATCTCCCCAGCCCCCCAACACTTTTTTAAAAAAATAAAAATGAAAATGAAAAAAATTGATTTAATATGTGTGTATATACATGTGTGTATGCACATGCTGTAGTGTGGGGAAAGTGGAGGACAATTCTCCAGATTCAGTTCTCTCCTACCTTGAGTTCAAGGGATCAAACTCAGTCATCAGGCCTGTGCCTCTATCCACCAAGCCACTTTGCTAGCCTCCTATATCATCGTTATGTGAATGATTTCACAAAGGACAGGGACCCTTGTGGGACTGAGGCTTCAGGACTGTGCCTGTAATACAAAGAGGGCCCCAGGCTTGAGGCCTGGAGTAAATGTAATTGTAAAATCAGAAGGGCACAGCCAGGCACAGGGATCAGGACCCACTATGTAGAGAGAAAGGTATACCCAACTAGTAGCCAGAACTGCTGTGAGACCCATGTGATGTGTCAGACCAAGAAGGGAGCACAGAAATATACCAGGCTGTCAGAAGAAAATCAGAAACAGGGCAGACATGGATACTAGAACTGAATAAGTAGAGGAAGGCCAGAAGCCAGATGGAACAGCTAACAGTGTGGTTACCCTGCCTAGACTGTCAATCGGGAACTTTTATCACCATGTCCCTAAAATCAGTCCTATAGCCCTCCCACCACCTTGCTTATTCCTGATGGCAGGATGCCTAAAGTCTGCCTTGTTTGTTTCCTGTGCCTTCAGCTTTGCATCCAGTCAGGTACTGTGTGTCTAAGGATTCTGACTCCTTGGCTCTACCATACCTGGTACCCAAGATCAAAACAGAGGTATGAGAATTAAAGATGAAATGAATAAAACCTCATCTCCTGTCAGCAGGAAATGCCAGAGTGGGGCTTTGTTTCATTTTGTCATTCCCCCAACCCACCTAATGACACGGCTCTGACCCTGTCATATCCCATCTTATGAGCTATTTAGAAGGCCCAAATTCTTGTCCTGACTTTCAGGACTTTCCGTTTCCTTCATATCCCCTCACCACCAAATTGAACTACTTGCTATTTTTAGCACAGGTCGTCACTTTCCATGCAATTTGGGCTCCAAGTGCTTAAAGTGTGCTGTGAAATAATCTTGACTCTTTAGAGAAAAACAGGAAGTGGTAGTTCTAACAACCATGTTGGGAGAGTGACCAATTTATCACTGTGTACCCTATATATTTAAATGAATTAGCCATGTGTGGTGGCATGTGCCTTTAATACGAGCATTAGGGAGGTAGATTGAGTTCAAGGCCAGCCAAGGCTACATAGTGAGACCCTATCTCAAAACATACATAAATAAATCAATGAAAGAAAGAGAGAAAATAGCTTGGAATGTAGCTCAGTTGGCAGAGCTCTTATCTAACATGTACAAAGGCCTAGGTTTGAGCCCCAGCATCATATAAACCAGGCATGGTGGTGCACTACATGAAACCCTGTCTTAAACACAAATCCCCTTAAAACCATTAATCTCATGAATGGTGTAAAGTAGGTATATGTGTGTACTCTGGGGAATTGCCCTTCAAATTACTTCAAAGCAAGCAGACTGTAGTAGATACTTTAGAAAATAGAGGAAGGAAAAAAATCCAAGTCATACAACAATCCTAAAATAAGCACTTGAAATTGTTATATTAAAATGAAGTCTGTGGTGTTTTAGGTGTTTTAACAAATAACCTGACTCTGAATCTCTTTAAAAATTATTTATTTTTATCTTGTTATGACTGTTTTGCTTGCATGTATATGAGTACACCGTGTGTATAATGCCTGTGGAGGCCATAAGAGGGCATTGGATCCACTGGCACTGGAGTTAGGGACAGTGGACAGCCACCAGGTGGGTGCTGGGAACCAAACCCTGGTCTTCTGCAAAAGGAGCCAGTGCTCTTAACTGATGGGCCATCTCTCCAACCCCTGTGAATCTTTTCTGTAGCAGATACTTCCAAATGGTAGGCTAGACCTTTAGTTAACTTTAGTAAAAGGACTTTTTTTTTCCATCTTGAGAAGAGTAAAAATCACTGGGTGGGGGAAGGAAAAACCCGGTCAGAATCTGGGCTTCATCTAAACTCTAGAAAGTTCACTTCTCACATCCCTTCAGAGTTGACATGTGAATATTATTCAGCAAGGACATTTTGGAGGAACAGAGGAAAGGCAGAGGGTGAATAACAGGAATTTGCAGTTGGTTTGATGTGTGAATAGGAGACCTGAAGAGGTTAGGCTTTGGAATTTGAGTTCCTGGAATCAAAGCCCATCTCTCCAGTTTGTTAACTTTCTGATCCTGACCAATGTTCTTAACCTTTGAGCCTCAGTATTCTCCTCCGTACAATGGGGGATCATCTTGCATCTCCTTCATTAGCTTGAGGTAGGGCTTGCAGGGCTTGAGAGAATCCAGGTGTGAAGAATAATATGCGTGATATGTATTTTTAGGATAGAGAACAGAAAAGGAGGCGCGGAGGTGGGAGATGTTAAGGTAGATGAGGTCTGTATGGATGTGTGGAGTTTGAATGGCACTGCACTTAGCAGAAGGTGGAGACATGGGCCTGTGGCAGGCAGCCACGTTTGTGGGTTGCACTAGGGTGAGGAGCCTGGCCTGCTACCAGTTTGCTTTATATTCATTTCCTGAGTGATCTCAAAGTAGCCATGGTTTGAACCTGTAGAAATGTGTGATCGCTGGAAAAAAGTTGGTTTACTGGAGAATTTTGGTGCTTTTTCCAGCCCCTAACTCCAGGCTCTATGTTGATCGTTTCCCATATCTTTCAAGGTTTGTGTTGTGTGTACGCATGTGTGTGGTGTCTGCACTTATTAATGTAGGTGTGTGCACATGTGTGGAGGCCAGATGTCAATACTGGGTCTTTCTTTGATTTCTCTTCATCTTTATTTTTAGTTTTTGCCTTTTTGAGACAGGGTCTCCTGTAGCCTCAGCTGGCCTGGAACTCATAGACCAGGCTGGCCTCGAACTCATAGTGATCCATCTGCCTCTCCCTCTCGAGTGCTGGGACTAAAGGCATGTACCACCACACCTGGCATCATCTTTATTTTTTAAGATAAGATCCTTCACTAAACCTGAAACTCACTGATAAGGCTAGATTGATTGGCCAATGCACTTCAGGGACCCACCTGTCCTACCTGCCTCCCCTCATAGCGCTTGGGTTTACAGATATATGCCATAGGTTGGCAGCAAGCACCTTTATCTGATGAGCCATCTTGTCTGCCCACTAGTGCACTTTCAAAGGGAGTTCTGGGGATCCAAATTCTCAGGTGCTTATGCTTGCCCAGCTGAGCCATCTCTCCAGCCCAGCTTTGTGTCCTTGACTTAGCTGAACTTACCAACACCCTCCTGGAAAGCTTTGCTCACTCACTTAATAGTCAGAACCTTGGGTGGACCCATAGCAACTGTAGACATTAAGCATCATGTGTGATAACTGAACTTCTGACCTAGGTTTCTCATATCTCTCTTTTTTTTTTTCTTTTCCTTCCTGCAGATCATCAATGCTGTGGTCCTCCTGATCTTACTGAGTGCCCTGGCAGATCCGGATCAGTATCACTTTTCAGGTTCTGAACTAGGAGGGGACTTTGAGTTCATGGATGATGCCAGTAAGTACATCAGATAATAGTTGGAGATATTTTGGGACTTCGTAGGACAAGGAGTCTGATTGTCTGTCTTTTCTGCTAAATTGCAAATATTGATTCAAGGGTCTATTTAAGCTGCTGTTTTAACTTTATTTTCTTTCTTTCCATCATTACAAATCAAATCAACAAATGCTTAATGTGCCGCCCATGTTCTGCCTCTGTTCTCAGATCTCTATTTTTCTCCATATTACAAGAATTAATCTTTTTTATCCCCCACCCACCTGTTTTTATTTTATGAGAGTCTCCTGTATTATAGTTCAGATTTATTTCAAATTCATTATGTAACTGAGGATGACCTTGAGCCTCCTAATCCTCTTGCCTCCACCTCCCAAGTATTAAGATTATAGGCATGTGCCACTATGCCAGGTTTGAGTTTATATATTTAAAAAAAATTTATTATTTTTATGTGTATGAGTTTATTGCCTGCATGTGTGTAAGTACACCAGTGTCATGCAGTGCTGGAGGAGGTCAGAAGAGGACATCAGATCCTTCAGAACTGGAGTCACGAACAGTTGTTAGCCGCCATGTGGCTACTAGGATTAAACCTGGGTCCCAGCACCTACGCGGCTGCTAACAACCATCTGCAACTTCAGTTCTGGAGATTCAAAGTCCTGTGCTGACCTCCATGGGCAATGCACAACATGGGTGCACTTACTTGCACCAAGCAGGCAATACATTCATACACATAAAATAAAAATAATAAAAGATTTATTTTTGACTCTATATATGTGTATATCTGTGTGGGATAAGTACACGCAAGTGTAGGTTCTCATGGACATGGGAGTGGAAGTTATAGGCTCTTGTGAGCTGTCTGATATGGGTGTTGGGACCTGAACTCAGGTTATATTTTATTTTATTATTTAAAAAATTTTTATTTATGATTTTTATGTGTATGAGTGTATTGCCTGCATTTATGTGAGTGCACAGGTGTTGTGCAATTGCCACGGAGGTCAGAAGAGGGCATCAGATTCCCCTGGAACTGGAGTTAAGGATGGTTTGTAGCCGCCATGTGGGTGTTGGGAATCAAACCCGGGTCCTCTGCAAGAGCAGTCAATGCTTTTAACCGCTGAGCCATCTTTCCAGTCCCAGGTTATATTTTAAGATCGAGTGTACGTGTGTGAATATGTGCATGTGTGAATGCAGATGCCCACAGAGTCCAGTAGAGCACATTAAATCCGTCCAGAGCTGGAGGCACAGGTAGTTGTGAGCTACTTAGCATGGGTGTTTGGAGTAGAACTCAGATCCTCTACAAGAACAGTGTATGCTGTTACTCACCAGCCATCTCTCCAGCCCCCTATACTTTGTTTCTTAATGAAAGCAATCATTAAACAATGGAAACATTTATAGGTTTTTCTGTTAGATAAATCTCCAACTCTAAGAGGAGCTAAGTTCCCCAGATTGGAGTCCAGAGATTCTCTGAGGTTGATGTTTAAGTAAATTGCTCAGCAAGCTAATCCTTCCTCATTTTTGTAGCTTATTTTTCAGTCCTAAGTCTTGTAGCAGTAGCATATATGTGAGCCTTGAGAATGTGATGCTAAGAGAATGTATGAAGCCAGGCACAGAAGGCCGTGGATTGTGTGATTGCATATGAAGTGAGCAGTATAGGCAGGTCCAGATGGAAGGTGGGTTAGAAGGTGCCAGGGGCCAAGGCAAGGAAGAATGGGGAATGACTTCTTGTGGATATTAGGGGTTCTTTTGGGAAAGGTGGAACATCGGCTCATCGTCACGTACCTTTGTGAATATACTAAATCTATTGACTTATATAAGAAAGGGTGAATTAAGAGATTGGATTATATTTCAAGTTCTGAAATTTATGAGGAAACCCCAAGTATTATGTATTTTGATAAATTCTTTTTTTGTTGTTTGTTTTTGTTTTTTTGTTTTTGTCTTTTTGAGACAGGGTCTCTCTGTAGCCCCAGCTGGCCTGGAACTCACTATGTAGACCAGGCTGGCCTTGAATTCAGAGATCCTCCTGCCTCTGCCTCCTGAGTGCTGGGATTAAAGGTGTGCACCACCACGCCCAGCTAATAAATTCTTTACTATTCCCCTTAGCTGAAGCTCTTCCCCTACCTGAGTGCCCCTCCATTTATCTCCTGAGTTTCTTCCTCTTCCCATCCATAGTAACTATTTATCTCCTCTAGAACAATGGTAACATCCTGTTAGTCTTTGTAGTCTCATGAACTAGATTTTACTTACTGAGCATTCAGTAAGTAAATGCTGGGTTTAAAAATAAAATTAGAAATTAGCAAGTTACAAAAATGCCCTCTTCCAGGTGAATTTTACATTTCGATGAGGTTATAAACAGTCACCAAACTCACAGTGTATTAGACTCTGGTGTTTTAGAGATGTGGAATGAGTATCTTATTGCTTATTCTTCCCCAAACTTTCAACCTCAGAATGTAGAGCCACATAGCAGGGACTTAAGCCTAGGTTTTTTATTTGCCTCTGTGGGGTTTGAGGGCTTAGCATTTTGTTGAGAGTATCTACATACTGTTGAGAGCTCAGCTAAAATCTACACTTCAAGATATCAAATACTGTTTGTTTACATGTACTGTGGTACCAGAAATGTGGCCACAAATTAGGAAAAATCTAGACATAAATGGTGTATGACTAAACAAGATGCAAGAACTTAAATTAGCTAGGTAGGGAGTTGGCTGCAAGTTTCATGAGAAGTAAACAAATCCAAGCGTAAGGGAAAGTAGAATTAGAAATTAATTTTTTTTTAAATTATTTAATAACCACATGATTAGAAGCATTTCATTACAGCATTAACATATTCAATAACAATTTCCAGAGCAAAGATGCTTCTCTTTCAAAATTAGCTGTAAAATTTGAGGTTCACAGTTAAATTAATACAGTTATACAATATTGAACTCAGTATAACCCTTATAAGACATAAAATTGAATGAGGTTTTAACTTTGACCCTCAAAATTTACAGCCAATTTTGAAAGAGAAGCATCTTTCAAAAGTGGCTATAAAATTTTAGGTTCACAGTTGAATTAATACAGTTATACAATATTGAACTCAGTATAACCCTTATAAGACATAAAATTGAATGAGGTTTTAACTGTGACCCTCAAAATTTACAGCCAATTTTGAAAGAGA